CCCCAAAACCCCAAAACCCCAAAACCCCAAAACCCCAAAACCCCAAAACCCCAAGGTATTTCTGACATCTTGAATAGATTTACCATAGAAATATCATTATGCAAACTATATAAAGTTTCATTTTTTAGAAGTCAATAAATTACAAATGGATTGCTGTTCCAATAAAGTTTATATCAAATCTAAAGCCAAGGCGAAGGATAAGGAAGGAGATTACATCGACCCTGATGACTGGGAAGTCAACTCTGATGAACTCAACCACTCTTTCGACTCTGATGATGAAGGTACTCACCCATTTTGCTTCCATAAGGCTAACTTATATTATAGACATTTCAGCTCCAAAGAAAGTTAAGCAAAGAGTCAAGAAACAAGGCCGCAAGTTCAAGAATGATGTTGACACTAATGTCATGAAAGTCAACATGAGTGCTCTCGAGCCTGAAGACTTCACCACTGGAGACCCTGTATTCTGTACCAACTGCAGTGCAGTTCTGAATGTCCACAGCCATCTTGAGCAATCTGAAGGTGAAGGTGATGACAACGAATCTAGAGTCTGGATCTGTGAGTTCTGCAACAATAAAAACGAAATAAATTTGGATGAACATGAAGTGCCTGACAAAGAGAGTGGTGAGAGCAACCTCAACTACATACTTGAGAAGCCTGAAGACGAAGCAGATGAACACAAACAAGATGAAGAAGTCAAAGGCTCAGCTGAAAATGTTACTGATGATGCTTCAGAGACACCTCTGATATTCTGAATTGACATGAGTAGTTCAATGAGTAACCAAGTCGTGCCCAGTGTTAAAGGAAGTCGTGCTTTGACAAGATACGACTGCATTGCTAAAGGCATCTGCGACCAGATCGAAGCTTGCAAAGAAACTAAGCGCAAAGTCGGAGTGGTCTACTTCGATAGCGATGTCACTGTGCATGGAGATGCCACTGAGAAACCTCATGTAATCGGTAAGATACCATTAATTATTTCATTGATATTCTCGCTGTAAAGTTCAAGGGCTTAATTGCTCTGGTTGGTTGATTGGTTAGGTAGAGCTAACATGTATAGATTCACAAGAGAACCTCAACGATGAAGAGTATTTGTACACAAACGCTGAAGTGCTTGCTGAAACTCACATGTCTCAACCAGCTAATCTAACATATAAGAGCCTAAGTGATTTGGTGGAGAGCACCAAACCTAGGGGCTCAACTGCCTTAGGGCCAGGTGCTCTTACTTCCATCACTATGGCAGGTGCTTTAGGCAACGGAGCCACAGTCGTGATCTGTACGGATGGTCAGACCAACGCTGGCGTTGGCTCCAGAGGTGCATACAGAGGCGACTCTGAGTGGAAAGATCGAGTCGACAAATTCTACGAAGATCTCGCTGACAATGCAAACAGACATGGAGTCACAGTCAACCTTATGAGTGTTAAAGGATGTGATTGCAACCTTGAAAGCCTCATTGTGCTAAGTGACCAGACAGGAGGCCAAGTCAACATCATTGATCCTCAAGATGCCAGTTACGAGTTCCAAAGTGTACTTCAGGCAAAAACTGTTGCTACCAATGTCACTGTGAAAGTAAAACTTCACCAGGCTCTTGAGTTCAAGAACGAACTAGCTCAGAATCTGAGTGCGGGGAGCACTCTGCTCACCAAGAAACTTGGGAATGTCAATGCTAATACTGAAGTGACCTTCGGCTACAAAGTCAAAGACCCTGATCAACTCGCTCTCATTGAAGGCTTCAACATTGAAGAGTTCAGCAAGATTCCATTTCAGACCCAAATCGAATACTGCAAACTCGATGGTACCAAGTGTCTCAGAGTAATCTCAAGAGTGCTTGACACTTCATCAGACGCCGAAGAAGTCAAGCAAGATGCGAACCTAGGCATTGTAGCTGTGAACGCAGCCCAGCAAGCATCAAACCTTGCTAGAGAAGGACGCTTCAGAGAAGCTCAAGCACTCTCATACAACAACAAGAAGTTCATGAAGTGCAACCTCAAAACCGAAAAAGATGCTGTCATGTACAAAGCTTTCAAGCGCAACATGAAGGGCATGTACGACGAAGTGCATGAACAGAACAACAAAGAAGAGCTGATGCAGGCAGCTGGGCCTAAACCTGGTAAAAAGAAAGGGTTCTTTGCAAAGATGAGCGATGCACTGAGTAGTAACCTAAACAAGCAATCTCACTTTACGACAGAAAAGTTGGGCCAAATGTAGCCCATACTAAATCAATACGAGTTATTATTCAGCAAATCTTATTGATCAATATAACTTTTATTATTGGGGTTTTGGGGTTTTGGGGTTTTGGGGTTTTGGGGTTTTGGGG